CATCAAGAATATCATACAGGAAGAAAGCAAAAAGTCATTAAGAAGACAAGAACGAAGGAAAAGATCAAAACGGATGTCAGAAGAGACTATGAAATTTGCTCTCCAGCGTAGAGATGCTAAAGCAAATGGAAGAAATGAGGAGGTCCAAGAACTGAACAGAAAATTTCAAAGGTCAGCTCGAGAAGACAAAGTCAAATATTACAAAATGATGTGCAAAGACCTAGAGTCAGAAAACCAAAAAGGAAGAACATGCTCAGCATTTCTCAAGCTGGGGGAACTGTAGAAAAAATTCAAGCCTCGACTTTCATTATTGAAGGATTCTATTATTGAAGGATTCTCTGGGCAAATTATTGAATGATGCAGAAAGCATCAAGAGAAGATGGAAGGAATACACAGTCACTGTACCAAAAGGAAATGGTTAATGTTCAACCATTTCAAGAGGTAGCATATGTTCAAGAACCAATGATACTAAAGTAATAAGTCCAAGGTGCATTGAAGGAATTGGCAAAGAACAAGACTCCAGGAATTGATGGAATAAAATTTGAAATTCTTTAAAAAAAATTGAGGCGGCACTGGTGGCATTCACTCATCTATGCCAAGTAATTTGGAAGAAAACCATCTTGCCGACTGATTGGAAGAGATCCATATTTGTGCCCGTTCCAAGACAGGTGACCCAACAGAATGTGGAAATCAGACAGTATCTTTGATATTCCATGCAAGTAAAGTTTTGCCAAAAGTAGTAGAGAAACAGCTGCAAGCATATATTGACAGAGAACTTCCAGAGGTTCAAGGTGGATTCAGAAGAGGATGTGGAAGGAGGGATATCATTGCTGATGTCTGATGGATCTTGGCTGAAAGCTGAAAATACCAGAAAGATGTTTACTGTGCTTTATTGACTACACAAAAGCTTTTGATTATGTGGCTCATGACAAGCTATGGACAACATTGCAAAGTATGAGTATTCCAGAACACTAATTGTGCTCATAAAGAATCTGTACATGGCCTAAGAAGCAGTTGTTCAAACAGAACATTAGAACAATGAATGGTTTAAAATTAGGAAAGGTGTGCGACAGGGTTGTATTCTTTCACACTTATTCAACCTGTATGCTGGTCAAATAATCCGGGAAACTGGATTATATGAATAAAAACACGGCATCAGGACTGGAGGAAGACTCATTAACAACCTGCGATATGCAGATGATACAACCTTGTTGCTTAAAGTGAAGAGGACTTAAAACATTAACTGATGAAGTTCCAAGAGTACAGCCTTCGGTATGGATTGCATCTCAATGTAAAGAAAACAAAAATCCACACCACTGTACCAACAAACAACATTCTTATCAATGGAGAAAATAATGAATTTATCAAGGACTTCATTCCTCTTGGATCAACTATCAACCCTCATGGATGCAGCGGTCAAGAAATCAAAAGACGTATTGCATTAGGCAAATCTGTTGCACAAGATCTTTTTAAAGTGTTGAAGAGCAAAGATGTCAGCTCGAGAACTAAGGTGCACCTGACTCAAGCCATGGTATTTTCAATACCCTCATATGCATGCAAAAGCTGGACAGTGAATAAGGAAGACTGTAGAATTAATGCTTTTGAGTTGTGGTGTTGGAGAATACTGAAAGTGCCATGGGCTGCCAAAAGAACAAACAGATCTGTGTTGGAAGAAGTGCAGCCAGAGTGCTCCTAGAGGCCAGAATGTTTCGTCACTGAAAACCTTATGAATAGGAGAGCCACTCATACATGGTGCCAGAAAAAAGAGCCTCTCAGAGCGGGAACCTACCCAGAGAAGCAATGATGCCCAAGATGGAGGGAGAGACATTGATGTGGAGTGATGGAGCAGCTGGGGACTTTAGAGCGACTGTGTGCTGAAGACTGGGGTGGGGGGTGGATAGTGTAGGGAGAGAGGGGATTGTAACCACGGCAATGATATATGATGTATGATAGAATGAATGTAAAACTAATGTTCTCCCATGTAAACTATCACATAATTCACAATAATACACTTAAAAAAAAGAGCCTCTCAGGTTGGAAGGTACTCAAAATGCGACTGGGGAATGGCTGCCTCCTCAAAGTGGAGTTGACCGTGATGATGCAAATGGAGTTAAAGCCCATGGGAGTAAAACCCGCGGGACCTTCATTTGCTGATGGGACACAACTCAAAATGAAGTACAGGCTGAAAGCTCCCTGGAAGCCAGGATGGCCAAATTTCTTCTCTCATACTTCAGACATATTGTCAGGAGGGACCAGTCGCTGGAGAAGGATATCATGTTTGGTTAGGTGGAGAACCAGAGAAAAACAGTAAGACCCCCACTGAGATGGATTGGCAAAGTGGCAGCATCAATGAGCACAAGCATGGCAACAATTGTGACGTTGGCCCAGGACCGGACAGTGTTTCATTCTGTTGTGCATAGGGTCACTAAAAGAGGGGGGGTTGAGGTGGGCAGGGTAGGCTATGAAAGCACAAAATTGACTGGCTTGCAAATTTTCAAGAGTTTAGTTTCAGAGTGTACAGGGTGGCGGGGAGACAACGGAATTTTTCCATGAACTTTGGAAGTACCTCATGTACTTCCAGGTCTCATCCATCATAGGTCCCATGCTCTAATGGTTGTCTTTTTAACTTCTCCCCTTTGATTGTGGGAGTGCAGTAGCTCCATATGACAAACACTGGACTGCGAACCTAAAGGTCAGCAGTTTCAACCCCTCAGCAGCTCCACATGAGAGAGATGAGGCTTTCTGCTCCCACAAAGATTTACAGCCTCCGAAACCCTGTACAGGGTTGCTCTGAGTTGGGAACAACTTAACATAGAGCACTTAACAACAGTGGTTGCAGCCTTTGTCTCTAGTAGTACTTGTCACTTACAAATGAAGAAACTGAGGCTCAGAGAATTCTTAACTCATTTGCCAAGGTCACCTGGCCTGCAAGGAGCTAAGTTGAGATTTGAACAGTCTGCTCTTCATTCAGCAAGTTAACTATTCATTTGTCACACTAACTCTCCTCACAGGTTCAGCTGGAATCAGCTTCCAAGTCTTACAAAGTTTACCTCAGGATGCTAGCAAGCATGTTTCTGAATGGGTCTATACTCTTTTGAATCAAGAAAATTTGCTACCATCAGGGAGTGTTCATAAAAATACCTGGAACATGGCTCACTAAAAGGTCATCAGCTTTCAGCTATCATAAAAAATGTTTACACCAAATTTAACTACATTTTGCCATATGATATCTGTAGCTTTTAAATTTTTTAACTGTATCATGGCGTGGTGTGGGGGTTTCGGCTGACCTCTTTTAACTTCACAGGGGGATAAGAGAAGAAATTACCATCACCACTGGCCCAAGGCCAATTCCTGAGTCAGAGGTCAGACATACTTTCATCCTTCAATCTTTTTACCAATTCTGTCACCAAATCCCCTCCCACAGTTCTCTCTACTGATCTGCTAAATTTGACAATCTGCTGCAATAACACAGAACTCAGACAACATGATTTTGGGATTTATTAGTAAAGTTAACAGGTTACAACTCAGGACCAGAAATGCTCAGAACACAGTTCTTTGGTCAGGAGTGTCTTCTCAACAATGTCTGCGTGCAGACTCTCTCTGGTCCTCGGCCTCTCAGTCACGGGCTCCTAGATCTCTGCCCTACTCAACCAAGTACTACAGAGCTCTTGAAGATAAATGCCCAAAAGGCACTCAGCTCAAGATCTGTGCGTCAGCAAACCTAGCTCTTCAGACAAATGGCTGAGAGGTGCCCCTCAGCCAGCAAGCCTCCTGCCCATTGTGTTGCCTCTGCTTCTCTACCACTGCCTTTCATCTCCTGCTGCGCTGCCAGTGATGTCACAGCTCTTCTTTCTTGAAGGTAGTGAACCCTCTCCCAGCCCCTCCCACTTTCTACTTCTGAGATGGTTCATTTTAAATCTAGCAGGATGGCAAATCTGACCATACACTTTATTTCCTGTATGGTATAGTGGGCTATGGATTGGGCTGTTAACAATCACAATGAGTCAGAATCATTTGACAGCACACGACAGCACAACAACCAGCCTAGAAAAAGACATTCTACCCATTACTTGTATTATTAACAAGCTAGCCAATCCCCTTAAGGAGCTCTAGTAGCATAGTGGTTACGAAATCTCACGGTCAGCAGTTCAAAACTACCAGCTGTTCTGCGGGAGAAAGATGAGGCTTTCTGTTCCCGTTAAGATTTACAGCCTTGGAAACCCTGTACAGGGTCACTATGAGTTGGAAACGACTCAATGGCACATCACAACAACATCCAATCCTCTTGGTAGTCCACAACCACCTCACATTTGAATAGTCCTACAGGGTTGCTATGAATCGGAACCGACTCCACGGCACATAACAACAACAACTGTCTTTGGAGTCCTGGTGTGGCGCTGTGGATTAATGCGCCAGACTGCAAAGCTGTTTGAACTGCAAGGATGGCAGTTCAAGCTCACCCGCTGCTCCTTGAAAACTCTATACAGTATTGCTATGGGTCAGAACCAACTCAGCAGCACTTAACAACAACTGTCTTTGGAGTCCTAGAATGGCACTGTAGGATAAGCACTGAACTGTTAACCACAAGGCCAGCAGTTCAAACCCAGCAGCCACTTCTTGGAAACCCTACATAGGGTCGCTACTGCATGGAACTGACTCGATGGCTCTCAACAACAGAAGCCAGTCATTTGGTGGGAGTTAAAAAGAAAATGATTAGAAAGGCCATGTCAAGTAATTCACTGCACTACAAGCATCTTAACATACTGAAATAAAACAACACTCCCACCTAGTGGATAAAAGAAAAATGTCTGGCTTATTTCAGTGTGATCAATACCAATGTAAAGAATTAAACTACAATGAACTTAAATAAGTTTATTCTATTTTTATGCTCCTCAAAATATTTCTCCACCCCCCAAAAAAGTAATAAAAAAAACAACAACAACACAGTGCACACTGCTTTCCTTCAAGGCATACCACACCTTACAAAACAATCTTTGGAATCATGTATAAATGTTACTCTGAATCTCATTTGTTGTCATCAGTTTCTTCAGCATCTCTGTGCTCTGGGGAATATTCTGGAAAAAGAGAAAAAAGTTGCGAAGAATTCACTGACGCCAAGAACACAACTAGAAGCAACGTGTATATATATATATAGTTCAACCCTACAGTCTCAAGACTTAAGCAAAGAAAGTTCCAAAGTGATGCAGGTATGGCATGTAGGTCAGAAGCATGTCCTTCTCTTGCTCTAAAACGCTGACTAATGTTATGACCTCGGCCTCTGTCCCACATCACCTCGCACCTCCTCTCATACTGCAGTACCACATTCACCACTGTTCTCCCCAAATGCACCCCCAACATGCCCCGCTCTGAACTCCTGTTGCTTCTTCCCTCTGCACATTCCCACCTGCTAAGACTCACCATGTTTCAAATCCAGCTCAACTGCCACTTTCCACAGAAGTAACTGCTGCCTCCTGTAGCTGGCATACCGGTTGAGCCTCCCATCCTGATAGACTGGCATTACAACCCCTGGCACTACCTCATAACTGTGGAGCTCACTCACCACTGGAGGCCCCACAGTGGTAGATCACCCAGCACCAAGGTGTCCATACAGTAGTTACTCAAGACAGTTCTACTGTACTGAACAGATGCCACTTTAAAATGGAAAGAAACTATGAGCTAACTCAGGATGAATGTATCTGGTCATTTAAAAAATTGCCGTTGTTAAGTGCCATCAAGTAGGTTCCAACTCATAGCAGACCTGTATAGGGTTTCCAAGAAGAAGCTGGTGAATTTGAACTGCCAACCTTGTGTTTGAAACCGACCTGGAGGTCCAGTGCTCTATCCCACAGTGTATATTTGTTAAAAAACAGCCATTTCACCCTCCCACAAATCATTATGTTCAAAGCAAGAAATGAAAAGGTAAAACTAAAAAAGGATATTTAAATCTTCCCTTCAAAGCTGAAAGTTTACCTAAAACAACTATGAAATGTTGGGAACAGATAAGAATGATAACTGAACAACAGGATAAACAAAAATTAGTGTCTCTGTACTAAATATGTGAAGAATGTTGAAATGGCAGACGTCCTGTTACATATATATTTATTACAATTAAAATTTAAAAACCTTACAATGTCCAGAACAAGTACAAATGCTTATGAAGCACCTGTGTGCTGAGCACAGTACCAAGGGCTGGGAAGATAGCAATGAGCAAATTCCTGCTCCCTCTCTCAGGGAACTTCTTCCCAAACTGAGATGAGCAAATCAGTCAATTATACGAGGGAGCTTCAGAAAGTTGGTAGAGACATGAAATCAAAAGATAATGGAATTTTTCCATAAGTTTTCTGAAGTCCCATCAGATAAAAAAATTATTAATTAGTATATACTATGAAAGAGAGGCTAAATATAAGAACACACTGTGTCAGAAAACTTAACCATGATTGTACTTCATTTGAAAGATATGTATGAAGTACATGAATTTTTTTAAGTTTTACAGCTTTACTTTTCATTAATTCAACAAATCATTATTGAAGGATTTCTTCTATAAGCCAAGTACATGACGAACTGGGGACACCAAAATTTGTTAAAATTTAGTCCATTCCCACACAGTACTGACAAACTACCTTAGATACCTGTGACACCAGCTAGCTCTGAAAGAACTTATCAGAAAAGTCTTCTTAGCATGAGTGGTCATTCCACAATAAAACAGGTGCAGAACAATGTTGTTATAATCTCTTTTCTATACGGAGTAAGTTCTCACTCTGGAGGTTCAGAAACTTTCAGCAAATCTCTTAGGGAAAGAAAGGACATCTTTGAGCTACCTGAAATCACAGGTTCCTTTATGAATTTTCTAAGAAAAAAGCTGACAGTTATTTACATTCTAAGGCAGGGAGTAAGTATGTTTATTGTATAATTCTCTCATCTTCATACACCCAGTCTTGTGTAATAAACCCAAGGAATGAACATTACAATAATTTGATTCATAAAAAAAGGAATCCTGGTGTGGCACTGTAGGATAAGCATCGGACTGCTAACCGCCAGATCTAGAGTTCAAATCCACCACATAATCCTCAGAAACCCTACACAGGGTCTCTGTGAGTCAGAACTGACTCGACAGCACACAACAACAGTACTTCTCAAAAATTACAACTTTCCACATTAAATTGTTATAGAAACTTCTAGAACAGTAAAGCCATCTTTCTAGGTAGACATCTGTGACTTAATTGTATTGCACTAATCTATCATACACTAACAAAACATTCATCAAGTTTTAAACATCTACCAAGAAGCGTGACAGTCAAATTCACACCAGGAAGTCTGAACTTACTGGAATAACAGGTTAATATGTGTTACTTCGGCTTCAAATTGATACCATATATTTGTGTCTGTTATTAAGCTCATTATAATAACTCAGCTACTAATTCAAATTACTTACCTTAACCAAACCTTTTAGGCTTTTGGAAGAAAGTATGGGCTTAAAAGCTTCTACTGTCATGGGGTCTACCTTCATGACATCGGTATAACACAAGTACAGAATGGCAGGAATTCGCCATACTTGACAGTAACTCAGAACTATAAAGATACAAGAGAAAAAAACACATTTTCTATTACCTGGTGCTTAAAACAAGTTTAAATAATAAAGGATTGACTGGAAAACAGCCAAGTCTCTGTTGCTCTTGCAATCAAAGCATTCACTGGCATTCTGAATGATTCTAGAATGCATATTTTCTTTCAAAGTCAATGATCTCTTAAGTAATCTCCTAGGTTTGTGCATTTTATGTTTATTTACATTTCCTGACATAATGTTGAGACATATTTTCAGTAGCTAAAAGACTGAAATTTTGTTGACTATAATAAAGTAAATTTTATGTAACAAATATATAGTATATAATGTAAAAGATTTCGCCAATTCATACTCAACTAAACGTTTCATATAAAGGCAAAAGAGAAAAAAGTCCTCTTCAATACAATTTTATAACACTGTATTACCTACTTAAAAGTAAATGGAAATCTATTTTTTAATCTATTTTTATCATCATGCTAGAATGTAACAGTAACAGTAAAAAATATTAAACCAACTACCGAGATTCATTATCTGAAACTTACCGTGATACTTATTGTACCCATTTTTCATACACCAACAATTTACATCTAACACTGACTTGCATTTTAGAATTATCAAAGATCAAAAATAAAAAGAGCAACTCTGAAACACAGACACTGAGAAATCTGAGCTAAGTCTATAAGGGGAACAACACTAGTGAGGTACACACACCTTAGAACAATCAGCCATTTGAGATCAAAAGGGCAGCATTTACCCCAGGACAAAGTTCAGAAGGGTTAGGAAGAAGAAAGAATGGAAACAGGGAACCCAGGGAGGAAGTGGGATAAGTGAGATTACACTGAGGGGACTGCAATCAATGACATGAAACAAAATATGTATGGTATGCTGAATGCAAAAGTGATGTCCTCAAAAACCTTCACCCAAGTCACAATAAAAATAGTAAAAAAGAAAGAAATCTGAGCAGCTCTCATAAAAAAACCTCTGGAAAGTTTTAAAACTCAAACCAAATACAGCATACAGATACTGAGGTTTAAGGGCAATGTATTAGTGTCAATCATCATTAGCAAACGGACTCAAAAAGATCAGCATAAAAGTTAAAGTAATAAGTACCAACCAAGCAATGACAAGGTTGTTGTTGTTGTGATGTACCGTAGAGTCAGTTCCGACTCATAGTGACCCTGTACAGGGTTTCTGAGGCTGTAAATCTTTACAGGAGCAAAAGCCTCATCTTTCTCCCGTGGAACAGCTGGTAGTTTCGAACTTCTGACCCTGCGGTTCGCAGCCTGATTCATAACCACAAGGTAGGTAGTTCAAATTCACCAGCGGCTCCTCAGAAACCCTATATAGGGTCACTATGAGTCAAAACCAACTGGACAGCACTTAACCACAACAACAAGACATGATGTAAGTGTTAGTCATTTTTAGCACTACCTGCTGCAGGAAGATCATGGACGATGTTTGGCTGTTCTAGCAGTGAACAACACACAGGATCCTTGAAATTTTGTGTTTTCAGGGCTCTCAGAAAAGGAGACGGCAGGCTGCACGTAGATTCTGAAGTTTTATAGTCAGTGATATGTCGACTTGTGAGAATTGTTACTTGCATGTTCTTCTTCGGACAAGTGCCAAAAACCTAACACAAAAGTGGTTTCAAATGGTTAAAAAGAAAAAAATTATAAACTTTTGTTATGAGATGCAAACGCTCCCCTAGTAGTTTACCTAACAGGATAGAGTGATACACTTCTTTGCAGGTGAGGGAGGGTCCCTGCAGTAACAGGACACATGACTTGCTGGCCCCCTGGCCTGGGACAACCTTGGTTCTGTCACGTTCTAGCTACATGATCTTCTTCAAGTCACTTTCCTCCTTCGTGAACTGAAAACAGCATTACCAACTACCAGAGCTGCAATCTGGATTAAACACAGCCATATACAAGCACCTGGAGCAGCCACTACAAGACTCAACCAAGCACACTTGCTGGTGCTTGCTAACATACCCCTCTCTTCTACCCCCCAGTGATAACTGAAAAACGATTCCTACTACATCCTTTTTAAGTTTCTATGATCACAGGCAGGAGTCCTGGTGTGATGCTGCAGGATAAAGCACTAGACCTAGACCACAAGGCCAGCGGTTCAAACTCACCAACCACTCCTTGGAAACCCTATACAGGGTCACTATGAGTAGGAACTGACTTGACAGTACTTAACAATAACATAATCATACACAAGTTCCCCTTGCTCCAAACCCTAATATCCTCTTTAGTGATATGAACAGTTTAGATTAGGCAGATTTCCAAGGATCCTTCCAGCTTTTGGAATCTACGGTGATAGAAACAAAAAAAGTGGGTATTTTTAAAAGAAAATGAGATCTTTAGGTCGCTGCACTTGTTTGAAAATATTTTATGAAGAGAAGAAAATGGCTGTTTTCAAATAATAAAAACAGAATAGTAGATTTTATATTATGTGCCACAAATTATTTTGTGTGGCTACTTTCACTGTATCACAGCTTTGTAAATAGGCAAAGGAAGTCAGCACTACATACACTTGTTATACCTCACTAAGAGAGAAAGCATTATTCACAAGACCTCATTTATTGCCCTCCCTATACTACTTAGGCGGTGGCTCGACAGGATAAGCACTGGATTGTGAACTACAAGGTTGGCAGTTTAAGCTCACCAGCCATTTCGTGGGAGAAAGATGGGGCTTTCTACTCCCACAAAAGACTTACAGCCTCGGAATCCCTATATACAGGGTCGCTATGAGTCAAAACTGACTCACAGAACTTAACAATACTTATATAACTGTCTCCCCTTATCCACAAGAACTTATACATTCCAATGTACCTGAAACAGAGGATACTACTGAACCCTATATATACTATGTTCTTTCCTATATACGCATACGACAAGTACCCAGGGTACCCTGGGTGAGCAATGCTAACCTGGCAGATGCCTGCAGATTATGGCACAGTGGTTCACCAACTGTCTTCAGGTTTGTGTCCACTCCGGAAGGGAGGGAGACAGCAGGAAATTTCATCACACAACTCAAAATGGAGCAATTTCAGTGTTTTCAGAATGCAGGTAACTGAAACCCTGGATAAGATGGCACTAACGTAGTCTGAAGACATGAGTATGACACTACAGGATAAGCACTGGACTGGTAACCACAAGGTTAGAGGTTCAAACCCACCAGTGGCTCTCAGAAGTCTTATACAGGACTGCTATGTGTTGAAACTGACTCGACGACATACAACAACAATGTACCCTGAACCCCTTAGTGTCGCACCCAGGAGCAAGTGGCTGAACTGGAGCAAACAGCAGGGGAACTCTAAATGCCCCTAGGAAGAAAATCATGTATTTAAAAATTTTTGTTTTGAAAATGCGTAATCTGATTTTTATCTGTGGAAGAGAAAATATGTTCACTTATTCCATAGTACGAAAATAAAATATTAAAGTATCTTTGGCATGACAGTAATCATACATAAACTAAAGATACACATTAATATAGCTGTTGCTAACCTTCTGAAATCTGATGAAAGCTAAGGACTTTCTCCCTAGACAAACTCATGTAAGCACATAAACATAATACATATGTAATTATCAGGAGACTCATAAGATCTCCTTCAACAGGTCTTATTTAATGAACTATACTCAATAACTTTTAATAATAAATATTTCTAACTATACCAATCTGGTTTACACAGGTACACACCAAATTTCTTAATTCTAATTAATTTGACTGCAACATTTCTATACAACAGTTCCTGGATAGTACAAACAGTTAGCATGCTTGACTACTAACCAAGGTTCAAGTCTATTCAGAAACACCTCAGAAAAAAAGGACTGGTGATCTAAGTAGTTCTAAACCTCAGCCACTGAAAACCACACTTCTACTCTGACACATGGGGTCACCCACGTGAGTTATGATTAAATCGATGGCAACTGGTTGGTTACTTATATGAAAATACAGCTAACTCAAACGTTAAGACATACTGCATTTAAAAACAAACTGCAACTGTCAAAATTATGATTATTCTCAAGCATTATTTGTTAAGTGAAAATTCACCTAAAAAAATGTGTTTCAATGAGCACCTATCATGTGCGCAACTGTCTAACAAAATGAAAACTCAATCTATTTACTGCCTAATGGTAAGAGAAATGGCAGTAATGACAGACAGACACAGGGGCTTTGGAGTGAGAGGTGGCTATGAGGACAGCTGTTTCCTATCCCCCTACCTCAGGCTGCCCTGTAGGTCCATCAGCCCCCACTGCCCTTTCCCACCTCTGGCTATGACACTACTCGGCTTCATATGGGTAGCCTGTTTTTTCTCAGACAAAATAACAAGCTATTGGGTGCGAAGAAAACATATTTTACACTCCTATGACCTGTAACCCTTAGCACATAGCTAATTTTATTTCTTAAATTGGTCGTGTGAAATAAATAATTTGTTTTTATTGCACCAACTATATAACAAACTCCTACTTTATTTCTGAAAAGAAACAGATACTTCCCCTTGATCCCCTATATTTGATTACATGGATGTAAATAAAGTGAGAGCTTTCCATTTCCTCTTTACCTTTTCCAGCCACTGATACTGCTGATCTTCGGCAACGTAGCAACTGCACTGACAAAGGAAAATCTGAAAAATCAAATTCCAAGTTTTGTGTCAAGCCAAATAAATTTTATGCATACCCCAAACAAAATTTCAAATTTTCACGGACTCTAATCTTTCTGGGGTCATGGAGGCTAGATGAACCCCCTAGAACTATTGCCCTAAGACAATCATTAAACCTTAAACCAAAAATACCCACTGAAGTCATAATACCAAACAGCAGTTGAGCTTCATTAACAAAAACTATCTGTCTTGAGTATTCTGCTCTTTTAAGAGCTATCTATACAGAATCAAATCGACAAAAAGCAACTGGAAAGATGCGACAGGACGCTTACAGGGTTGTGAGTTTATATAACTGGGGAGGCACAACTCAGAAAAGGGGGGTGAGTAGCTGCACAACTTAAAGACTGTCAGCACTGAATCATACAAGTAGACATGCATGTTCTGCTGAGTATGCTCACAGCAAAAACAAAGAACATAAAATTTATAAAGAAAAAGTTAAGCAAACCTCTGTCACCATATACATCATGTGAATCCTCACGTAATCTGCAACACTTACTCTCTTATATTTGTCACTGGCCTATGCGTTTTTCCTTAAAAATGAAGTCTCAGGCCACTATTGGCAATTAATATCAGAGTGCAGTGCACACTGAGAAGGCCACCAAGAGAGCTGTCACATGAGATAATCGGACAGAGGCATTCATGTAGCCAAGAAAGACTATCAGGACCCTCTTGACAAAATGGGACGATGGTACCAGTCCTAATACCTTTCTATGGGGTCATACATTGTGAAGATCAGATTGAAGCAATGAATAGACATCAGGTGGCAGCATAGCAAATGGCCCCTGAGAAAACAGCTGGTGTCTGTGAAGATGGTGCTATTTTAGTGACCAACGTCTAGACCAAATGCTTGAATAGTTTGGAAGGGAGCTAATCTTCCAATGCCACAATACCGTTAAGAGGATGAAGCAGGTTCCTAAGGATAAACGCTCACAAAACGATAACTATCCATAGGAAGTAACCACATCTGCTAACATACTGCAGAACCATTAACACCCAAAGGCAAAGAGAAAGCACAGAAGGAAACAAAGGGCATGGGATTGGGAAGATGACTGGACAGACAAGGAGACTTCAAAAAGTGTGTGGAAACTATAATAAAAAGGTCATGGAAATTTTCCACAGATTTTTTAAAACCCACACATATAACTAAGAGGGCCCTGGTATAGCACTGAAGGATAAACACTGAACTGCTAACCACGGTAACCACAAGGTCAGCGTTCACACTCACCAGTTGCTGTTGGAAACCCTTTACAGAGTGGCCATGAGTCAGAGCAGACTCGACGGCACACAAGGGTCTGAATAATCAAGATAATAGTAATAATAATAAACGGGACAACTCGATACAGCAACAGACATTTCACCTAGGTGACCTTCATTAACTATTTTAAATAAATTCTTTCCACTAAAGATCACATACAAGAACATGTAGAGTTCCTTCATTGAGACATAAAAATTCTGATGAGTTTGGTGTATGAATTGTTGAATGGAAAACAAATCTGCTCTTTTGCTCTGTAAACCTTCACCCACAGCACAAGAAAAAGTTTTTTGCTTTTTAAAAAAAGACAAATATTTTTAGGCAAATTTAAAGTTCAATAACCTTGGATTACAAGTTCTAGAAGCAAACTATGAAGACTATAAAAGCAAGTTTTGCATTTTTCAAGGTTAACATTTAGTCCTTATAATAAACTTTATAAATATCATAGAAGTATATATTATCACAAATTTACTTCACTGACTTCTTCCATTGCTTGGGTCCCTTTGGTCAAGTGCTCAGCAGCTGTGGATTGGAGGACTGCTTGGCTATCTCATCTGCCACCTGACTTGTCTCCCAAATAACCCAAGTCATATATATGTTCTCTGTATGAACCAAGAATAGGATTACACATGCAACCTAATAACATCACTCAGCATCGAGGACTTGAAAAATGAGGACAATTTTGGTTTCAAAGAAACCTGATGACAAGAGAATAGTGTTTAGAATTCATACAACATTACTTGGCAAATACTGAGTTTCTGGTATGAACCAGTCGCTGGCCAAATAATGAGTTGATAGCCAAAAAGCAGAATTCTCGGCTTTCACAGAGTAAACGCATTTTTTTCACATTTAGAGTCACCAAAATAATTTTCTGATTGATGGCAAGCTTTTAATATCTAACGCTTATATTCTGTTGCTACCAAAAGCAATTTCCAATTCTCAAAATAAGTTAAATAATGCACTTTATATCCCACAATGACATTTATATAAAATTATACAAAAAGTAACTACTTTGGGACATTTGGCAGAATGGAGGACTAGGCAGATGCACTACATGGATCCTCTACAACCAAGATAAGACCAACCAAATAAAACAGAAACAGATGAAAATATTGGTACCTTGAACTTCAGAAGAGAGGTTACAGAGGTAGATGGAAGTGCTTGCTGGGAGAGAGGACAATCAAGGACAGGACAGCGAGAGAGAGGGAGACT